CACCTATCCACATCTCGTCCTGGCTTGCACTGCCCACACGGTGACATTGACCCACCTTTGACCTCTGACATCCTTTGAAACTCCTTCTCCTGCTGTTGCTAAGAGCTCAGTACCACGGCTCCTCACCTCTGTTTTGATGTCACCTGCGTCTTTTTATGACCCTGCTAGAGCCCAGCCTTCTGCTCAGCTGTCCCAGAAGAGGCCTTCTACCCTCGTGATCCACAGGGCTTGTCCTTTCTGCTGGCTTACAAGGATACCCCTGCCCTTTTTTTACCACTTAGTCTAAATTTTATAGGTGGGGGTGAGGGAAAGGGGGCTGGGAGACTCAATGCACCTTTGCCTTGCCTCCTCCAACTCCTTGTTTCCATATCTTTATCTGTGCTATATATCTATGTTATTATCTATCTATTTATCATCAGCATATAGTATCTATAGCAGATACTATTGGTGCCCTGCTCCCTCCTGACACCTTCCCCACAATGCCCAGCTCTTAGGTTTCCAGCTGCCAGCACCTGCAGCTCTTTGCCCGAAGGCTTTCTTTGGAGATAGGAGCCTGCGTATGGGACACTCTGGAAATAATTGGAATTAACATGCCCCTCCCTCCCTCCCCAGCAGCCTTCAACCATGACAGCTGTTGGTGACAGAATGTTCCCAACGCCCTTGCCCTTTGGGGAGTGGAGGCACATGCTCCACCATCTCTAGCAGGACTGAGCTCCACCGTGGTGACCTGCATATTGGCTCTGCGTCTCTTGGTGTCTCTTTGTCCACTGTCCCTTCGGTGTTCCAGGGATCACCACCCAATACACAAGCTGCACACAAACCCTCCTCTCAGGATGTTTCTGGAGAAACCTAACCTCAGAAAATAGTCACATTCATATCCACTTCCTGCTATTTATAGGGGAAAGGCTTCAGGGTTGGAGCTGACTCTGAGCTAAGTGTGGGCTCAAACTGTGGCAAGACTGCTAACAAAAGTAACAAAATCCTTAGGGAGCCACACTAGAATCATGGTTAATGAGAGTCAAAGTATTTGGGTGCTTTTATGTCTAGTTCTGGATGCAACATTGTTAAAGGATATTCAACAATTGGAATATGACCATGGCCTGATTTGGAGTGTAGGAATCGAATGACAGAGACAACAGGTACGGGGAGTAAGGCTATCTACCGGGGAGGGCGAACCCCTGGCAGTACAATGGCTGCATTCAAGGGAAGTCATGCACCCAGTGGACTAAATTTGATCAATATTTTTCCAGAGGGCAGAGCTCTGGACGCCCGTGAGTAAAATACAAATTTTGGCTCTGGAAAATGAAGGATTTTTCAACCATTAGAGTTTCTTATCAAATGCAAGATCCTGGTCTGTGGAAATTCTCAAGCAGAGGGCAAAAATCACCTCCATTCATTCCACCCCTGAAAATAAACCAGGTCACACGTGTAAGCCTCTGTAGTTTTCATCAAAAGGTCATGTGGGTCACCAACGTTTTGTCTCTGGAATTCCATCCAACTACCGTCCCGCTGCGTGCCTTCCTGGTCTGGCCTCTCGATGTACCTGGTCCCTCAGGTACCTTCTTCCTGGGTTTGTGCCATCCTAGTCCTGTTCTCCCACTGGCTTTGTGAATTATTAATGATGTCATTTTGGACTTGCTCTCCCAGTGTCGAGGCCGATCTGTGCTCTCGCAGCACACAGCTGCAGGTGATAGGCACAGTAACCCTTGGCCCCGCTGCCCTGCCCACGACGGGGCAGCTTCTCACCTGACCCCTGCCTGATATAGGAAGAGAAACAAGAGCAATGGGAATAGAAACCCTAATGGGGTAAGAATGTATTTTAAGTGACTTCTAAATATACTTCCAACTCCATAATTCTATGACTATTTTCCTTTTCGACCTTTGTTATCCTTTCCTTTTTCATTTCCCTTGCTTATATGAATACTGTTTCTCAAGCTTCCCTGAGGAAACTAAGATGGGCTTTTTTTAATGGTGTCATTATTTCAACTTCCTAACTAGGCTCCATGTTCTCCCAAGCCCTGGTGACTGGTTTTGCCTTTCACTTTGCCTAAAGATATGTACTTCTCCATGGAAGGACTCCCCAGCCTATGCTTTCCCCAAGGGTGATTTATTTGTCTTCATTTCAATCGGGGCTCCTCTATAGCAATTATCTTACCTGGAGTTTACCTGCAGAGGACGCTGTTTCCTTCACCTACTACTGCCTTCCCAAACCTCTGGCTGGGCTCCGTGGGCACTGAATATCGCCACCTTCTGCAGGCACTCAGACCTGCTGCCCAGTGGGACAGTTCTCTCTGATGTCAAAAGGAAAGCTTGTTTTTCGTGAAGGAAACGTGTGTTCTTCCAGTTGGCAGAGTTAGGATTAGTGGAAACTTAGAGCCCAGGACCCTATAAATATCTTGAAATAAATACTCAGAGAAGTGATCTGAGACAACTAGACGCTGTTACACACTCATTTCCTTTCTCAACAAACATTTTCTGAGTGGCTGCTTTGTCTTGAAGGCTCAGAAATTAGAAAGAAAAATGGGTGCCAAGCAATAAGGAGCTTATAGTCTACGGAGAGGAATAGACACATAAACTGTAGTGCTGTCAGGGATGAGAATCAAATGCTGCGGGAACACAAAAGGGGACAAAGTCATAACAGATACCAACTCCTGTGTACCATTCTGGGCTCTGAAGAGGAAGATAAATTCCCAGGCCCTGTGCTGGCTTAGTGTGAGGGTCAAATCCCTGCCTGGCCACTCTACTAGCAGGGAGAATTTGGGCAAGTTATTTCAGTTCTCTAAATATCCATGTGGCAGTAGTACTGGGAAGATTAAATAATAATTAATGCAAAGAACTTTGCAAAATGTCTGGCACAGATTAGGTAATAAAATCTTGTTTCCTTTCCCTTTGGTTTCCTCTCAGGGTGTTCTCTGTAGAAAGTATTGGGTCAGTTACTCATCTATCATTTGTGGTATCTGAATCCCAAATCCAGCCTCTCCAAATGTCTTCTTTATGGTGAAACTTCTGGACTCCCCAAGTGAAGGTCGTCATGACCTACCATGATATACAGCGTGTCTTTGGACTATACACCTGAAACACTTCCATTTTTCTCTTTCTCCTTCTCCTTTGTTTCCTATTTGCTCTCCTATGACTTTTCCTCCTGAAACACCAAGCTCCCATTTAGTCATCTTTGATGCTGTGTTCTGGGAACTGTTCTAAAGAAATACCTGTTGTCTCAGTCCCTGATTCTGGTCATTCTTTCCTGCATAGAGCTTGCTCCATCTAAACACATCATGATCTCATGAATTAGGCCCTTGTACCACCATGTGCTCCCTTTGAATGACACTTAGTAGCTATCTTGCTGTGCATTTTATGGCTGAAAATGTAACAGAAGCTCCCTTGTTTTGAGGACCAGTGAAGTCTCCATTAAAATGTAGAGAGTTAGAACTTGGGGTGAGCAAGAGGATAGCAACGAGATATGACACCAGGTTCCTCTAGAGTGTGAGCCAAGGGCAGAAAAGCCTCATAAGGCACATATGAAACAAAGATGGGGGCTTCTAGGTGCCTCTGACTTTAGAGTTTTGATGAGGATCCAGGTGTTTGTCATGCCTTACCTGTTCTGTCAAAGAGCCCAATGACAATGTCTGCCACAGTGTTGAACATTTAGATTTTGGATTTCATTTTTAATTGTTAGAACTTGAGTTACCACCTTCCTCATAATCAAACTGTACTCTACTTTGTCCCCCACCCTCTCTGTAGATATTGTGTGATGCTCTCTACCTTCCACCTAGAAGACAGGTTCTGAGCAAAATCAAACCATTGGAATTCTTTCTTATACCAGTCTATTACTGTAACTCTTACAGAGTTACAGGCTACAGAGGAGGAACATACACATTTAATAAGTAGAAAATATTTATTATACAGCATTGTCAAGATTATTTGACAAAAGGCAGTAACAAGCCAAACAAAAACACATTTACAAGAAGCTAAACAACTTGTATAAGCACACACATGAAGGGGAAGAGATTCTGCCTTTTGGTATCAGGTTTGTATGGGTCCATTTGCAAGTCTGAACATATATGATATAAGACCTAATATTCTATTTTATTCAGGAAAACTTTTCACCATGATTTTAGGAGGCATTCAGGGCAATAATGTGATCACTGTTGTTTACAAGTGTTCGCCAAATGTCTAACAAACCTCAGAACAAAGTGACAACTTATACTATTTGAATAGTAGAAGCAGTACTTAAAAGAAATCTGAATGTGCAAGTCTTGTGATATCAAAGACATACATCAGTGGCATTAAGATAAAACGCCATGTTTCACTAATATTAGATAGTATGCTTTCCCTTGCTAGTGGGCCAATTAGTAGACCACCTAGTGAACATAGGAACCATCTGTTTTTCTCATTCTGTTCATTACAATGAAAATATGGAACTGAAATCCATGTTTTGATCATGAAGTCTTTCTATCAAAATTGTTATAAAATAATTTTTTAAAAGAAAGGCAGTTCATTTTTGATGTGGAACTGACTAAACTTGGTGGTAGAATGTGGGGAATATAGGAGAAACATGAGCCTCGAACACTGTAGTTGATATTAAATTCTGGACAAATTATGCAGCATATATTTAAAGATTCTAAGATGAGTTTGGGCTGAGAAATCAGCAGCTTCAACATGAAGAAAGCTTTTAAAATATGAGTGCACATAAGGCATAAACAGAGATCTTTAAAGGGGAAAGATTCATTCTACAAATAATAGAAATCAAAACAGCAAGAAAAAGCTCTTTATTTGGGGCAAGAGGGAAAGGCAAAAATGAAACAATTGGATTGTACATGCATGGATATTACATGCAGCAAATAACAAAAATGTAAAGAAAAGTTATGACAATAGAATTATAAGAATACATTGAAATAAAAATTAAAAGAAATAAAAAGTGATGAATAATTGAAGAAATTATGATCAATCTTAGAAGTTACTATATGCTTTAAGCACATAAAGCTCAAGTAGCTGTGGAAAATCTTTTTTAAAAAACCCTAAAATATCCTGAAATAATCTAAATACCATCATTTCAATCTTATGTTTCAATAATGACATGTGCAAGTTTATAAAACATACCTTGTTATTGTTACCCACAGTTCTTATAAACTTTCCATATAACAAATTTTCAAACCACTTCATTAATAACATATTCCCACATCATAAAATACTTGAAAAATAAGTTTCCTCTTAGAAGAGGAAGGACTGTCTGAGTAGCATATGTAAAACATTGGACCACAGCACTCAAACCTTCATAGAGTTCCTGTAGATATTGGCGACGATGGTATACAAAACATCATTGGAACATAAAAATAGCTATATCATATCAGAAAGACGATCTTCTAGTTGCAGGTAGATGGACATTACATTGCACAAATTTTATCATCACGTGTATACGAGGACACAAGTACACATCCACTCGCTAGTTACAGGGACTTCTGTGACAATATGAAAGTATTCTTTGTCATTAAACATTTAACTCGCCAGTGTTAGTTGCTATGAGTACACCATTAAATTCAAAGATGGATTTGTTTCTTTAGTATGTAGGAGAAACATTGGCACCAAATACACATACTGCATCTTAGAGGTTCAACTGGTAGGTATTATTTGCTACAGTAAATGGAAGGTAACAATTTTGCCACATGGTTTGTTCTCTGTAATTGAAGGGCAAAGGTGAGCCCCTTGGCACACGCACAAGGTAATCCACAAAAGATCTTCTGCCACTTTAAAACAGTCTCTTATTCTGACTTTCCCCTCAAATTGTCAGGAAGTGAGTATCAAATATGGGAAGATGATTGTGCTGATTTTGTTCAAAGACCCATGCTTATGTATTTATTGTCTTGCTTCTCATTGCATCCTTTTCTAGTATGCCTGATGTAGCGCTTTCTGGTGATAATTTTGCTCGTATTTCTGTTTTCCTAAATAGAGGGAAATCACAGAGCAGTGGAGCGCCCCTGCACCTTTCTCAAAGTGTGGTAGCAGGTTGGCACCGCGCCAGGAGCAGGTGAAGAGATGCCCCTACCCCGGCAGGTTGTGGAGCCTCCTGGGGACCAGGAGTCTGTGGTCCTGTCCTGGGTTGTCTGGGAGGTTCCGTGCTTGCCCCTCCTTCACCCGCCTGCTCTGCCTGACTCCAGCAGGCTCACCAGGAACACCAGAAATATCCACCAGGTTCACCAGGAATACCAGAAATACCACGAGGTGAACTCATGGTTACACGGGATTATCCTCATGTGCCGCCCCTTTCCAAATGGGCCAAGAGTATGTGGGCATGCATATCTACGCACAATTGTCCGAACCGGGGAGATCATTTTTGTCGATTTTATTTTATTGATTTACCTTTGTGATAAGTGTTACATACTACATGGGATTGTGCTTTGTCAGAATTCCCTTTCTTCCCAGAAAAGGCTTTGAATAATCCAAGAATCAGATTCCTCGCCCAGGTCACTTTTGGCTCGCTGAGTACGGTAAGTACTCTCTGGTGTCCCTTGCGGCGGCGGCAGCAGCCTTCGCTTGCCCTCTGACCTCGCCCTCCACCCCTAGGCTTCCCCCAGCTTTCTGCAGCTCCCCGGGGGCGCCGGCGCTCGCCCTCTCCTCCTGCTTTTCCATGTGGACACCGTCTCCTCCCCTACAGGGTGGAAGAGCTTTGCTTGTAGTCCCTCAGAATGACCGAGGCGTAGGTCACGTTGGGAGGGGTGCAGAGCACCGACTCGGACACGGGGGAGCTGGGCACCGAACTGCCGGAGGCCACGGAGTCGCGGAAAGGCGACGGAGGCGTCAGGGCAGGCGACTCCTCCGGGGTGGGTTTGCTGGCCGCCGCCGGGGGGTCCTCCTCCTCCTCCTCTTCCAGCTCGTCTTCCTCCGTGTTCCCCTCCCGCTCGTACAAGTACTCCTGCAGGAGCTTAAACCTCTCGCTGTCGTCCTCGTCGTCGTCGTCGTCCTCGGCTGCGGGGGAGGCGGGCTCCTCCCCCAAGGTGCTCAGCTGCAGCGGGAGCATTTGCAGGTGCTGCGGGGGTGCCGGGGGCGGGTACAGGGACCGCACCCCGTTCCCCGGACCCCCGGGGACTGCGAGCACAGCGTTGAAATCCGGGATCCCGGCACTGAAATTGTTGACCACTCCCTGCAGCTGGCCCATGAAGGATTTCGGCGGTTGCTGCTGCTGCTGCTGCTGCTGCTGCTGTTGCTGCTGCTGCTGCTGTTGCAGTTGCTGCTGTTGCAGTTGCTGCTGTTGCAGTTGCTGCTGCGGCTGCTGGAGGGGCGGGGGCAAGCCCTTGGGCATGGTTGGGTCGGCCAGAAACAGGGGGGTGTCCTCTGCTGTCAGGTGGGGCAGCAGAGGCGGGGTGCTCGCCGCGGGCACCTGTCGGTGCACGAGCATTGAAGGACTGCTGGGAGGGCTGAAGCCCACCGGCTGGGCGTCCTCCTCCTCCACGTTGTAAAGGGTCTTGGTGCTGGTATCTGAAAAGGTCAGGCTCTTGCCAGAGCCTTGGTGGCTTTTAGTGAGGGGCTTGATGACGGCTGTTTGGTTGCAGGCCGTCTCATTGGTCTTCACGTGCACAGAGAGGCGGTGCCACATGTGCTGTCCCTTGGGCACCTGTCTTCCACCTGGTTCAGACCATGACACAGACTTGCCATTAGAACTATGAATAAAATAGAGATGGATTTATTTGCAGATATATCATGCACACAGAATAGAATACATATAAATAATCATTTTTGCAAGCTCAGCTCAATGCACTGTGACTTGCCCTTTTACTGGCTTCCACACCCGCAACCTCTCCTTATTAGAGATTAAATGCTTAAAATTGCAATGACCACAGGTTGCAGTCACTGGTTCCATCCACCCCAAAACAAGGCGGGACATTTTGACCCTGGGAAGAGTTATAGGGGAGAAAACCAGCCTGTTGTAGAAGCAGCCTTTTTTTTTTTTCCATTTAGGTGTAAGTTTTCACACAGTTGTTACACAGTCTCTCACACACATAAACATACACATAGGCACTGTAAGGCAATGATAGAATTATGGCTCAGTGCAAGTCTTTAAAAGACTCCGAAATTGATGGAAGAAACAAATAAAAAATAAACGCTTAGTTACACATGAATAACAGAACACAGTGACCACAGCTCTTGCCTCCCTTTCTTCTTAGTCCCTGGAACAAATTAAAACCCACAGATAAAGCTACTTTCGTTGTCCTGCGGGGTTATAAAATACATCCTCTCAGCTGCCCATTCTGACATGCAGGTATTTCCTGTTACCCGAGCAGCATGCTCACACACATGGTACCTGTACGGAAGAGAAAAGAAGCAGATGACAGAAAACCCCAGACCCATGCTCCATTTAAGTGTCCCATCACTTTTTGACTTTCTTTTTATTTCCAAGCATTGCTCCTGACGCATGTAACAGATCACCACTCCCATACAGGCCCAGATACACAGCGGCTGGTTTGTGATTTTCACACTGAGGACTTTTAACCAGGTGTGTTGGAAAAGAGGCAGAACCAACATGCCCAGGAAAACACAGATGCCCAGACCCCGCGTTAGTCCTCTGGCATAGTTCGATACAAGTGAGAGAAAATTAAAATTCAGGGAAAGCAGAACTTACTGAGACAAAAACCCCTCCCTGGCCTTTTCCTGACGGAGACTCGTGGAAGGAAAATCCTAGGGCAACAAGAGCCCCCAACGTATTGGGGCTTCCCTCTCCTTGGGGCCTTCATAATGCCAACTGAAGGTAAGGTGACAAATGACATAGACTGTGTACAACATACCTACTGCAAATTCTATTAGGTATGTTGTAATGCCTCCGGGTTTGCTTTTGGATGCTTAGCTTATTCTCTGTACAACTTCTTAGCAGATGGTGGTACTTTACCCTAGCATATTCTTAATAACAACAGTGTTCATACTTAAATCAGGAAATAGTTTCTTCTCTTTTTCTAAGTTTTTTTCCCTATATTCATGGAAACAAAAAGTAGCACAATAATAATACATTTGAGACATTAAAAGGAATAGGTAAAATGAACATCTTTCAGGTGGATGTATAAAATACAGATTATTCTGTATTACATACAGTCTTTTGTTTGAAAAAAGTAGGAAATGATCAACATTTACTATAATGGCTTATTTAATCATTTTTAAAATACAGGAATGAATATTTAAAAATTATATGTGAATGTCACATTTATGATGAGGGTAGTGTTTCCACATTTTATATTTTATCATTTGAAAAGTGAAGTGAGTCAAATAAGTACATGTTCTTATAAAAATTCTGATGTCCACTATAGGAATTCTGGATATAAAGGTTCTCAAATAGATATACTAGTGAAAATTTTGGTCTCATTATTTGGGGAAAGAATAGTTTCTCCATGCATATGATTATCTATGCTGTGTTTTTTCATTGTCTAAAAAAAAATCATCTCCAAACTATGATATAAAAATTAACTTCTCTTAAATATACGTTTAATATATTCCCTGAGAATGTAGAAGTGCTTGTAAATGCAAAATTCCTGACTCATCGGTTCCCACACTATCTTGTTAGAATAGCTGACTGTTTTCTGCGTTGAGCACACCGAAGGGCTGGATGGTGGCGTTCTTGGCAAGAACAGGCAGCCGGCCAGCCAGCCAAGGACGAGGCCAGAGTCAGCTCTTCCTCTGAATTAAAAACTGTAGGTGCATTCGCCTCCCACTTTCATCTTTCTCAGTCTCCTCCACCCACCCTACTCACACTGTTTCTCTCTACAAACAGTCAATACGCATCTTCTGGAAAGGGTAAAACTTCATATTTGCCTCTTGCCTTGCTTAAATATGCTTTATTTAGTGTTTCATCCAAACTTGATGAGTTGCATTCTTTTTCAACTGCAATAGAAACACTTTTTCCTTCCAAATGCCTGCTTCTCAGTATGCACTTGGAAAATCCTTCAACTAAAAAGATGCCTTGTGTCTTCATTTAGTTGTGTGTGTGTGTATGTATGTCTGTATGTGTTAGAAAATAAAAAACACTAACTTGAAAAGATATACGCACCCCTGTGTTCATTGCAGCACTATTACCAATAGCCAAGATACGAAAGCAACCTAGGTGTCTATCAATAGGTTAATAGATAAAGAAGGTGTGGTATATACAGAGTGCAATATTATTCAGCAATAAAAAAGTATGAAATCTTGCCATTTGTGACAACATGGATGAACCTAGAGGGGTTTTTGCTAAAAGAAATGTCAGACAGAAAAAAATAGATATTGTATGATTTCACTTATATTGTGGGATCTAAAAAAAAACTAACAAACAAAATAGAAACAGACACATAGGTATAGAAAACAAGCTGATAGTTGCCAAAGTGGAGGGAGGCAAGAGGGTGGGAATAAAAAACTCACAAAAAATATAAAGGCTTTGAGGAAAATAGATAGATAAATAAATAAATAAATAAACAAATAAAAGTCGCTTGAGAGCAAATCTTCAACTTCAACCAGCAAGCTTACAAACCCCAACAAAGCATTGCCCTGGCTTCCACATATCATAGCAAAAAGGCATCCTTGTATGCCTGGGACTTAACTCACTCACACAGGTTGTTTTCCTCATTGCTCAGGAATTCTATGTGGGACTTTTTTAAAATCGTGCCCTTCCATGCATTAAAGGTATTACCAACTGTCTTGCAGACAGACATAATCACAACTGAGTTCTGTTTTAATTGGATACCATTTTTATGATTCTGGTGGGACATCTTCGTTGGTCAAAATTCACAGCTTTCCTTCCCTTCAGAGCTTTGTTCCCTGTCTGCCCTTAAGTACTGTTTAATTAAGAAACAGCTTTAATACCCCAGGGCATTTACCAGATTAAGAAAATTAGATTAACTTTTTTTTTCAAGGACAAAAGATATTGCTTTCTAAAATCCAGAGACAGTGGAGAAAATGCCTCCTCTTGTAGCAAGGGCAGCACCGAGTATCAACTTTGGTCCCTGGACTAGTTATTCCTAACCTGTGGTCCCCAAAGAGCTTGAATTGTCTGGAATTTAGGTGGCGGACCAGAGGCGTGGATCCATGGAACAGGCTGTCAGGTTCCCAGAGGGCCGGGAGGTGGTGTGGAGACCGGAAGGGGTTAGCCAAAGAACAAATATGCATTTATACGTAAGCCATGGACAAACTGTGGCGAAGGCAAGGGCGGGGTTGGGGGTACTTGAAGAGCAGATGGATGGGGGAACCGAGAGGGAGGAAATGAGGGACATCTGTAATTGTATCAACGATAACAAATAAATAAATAAAAATCTTATAAAGAATATACCTGTGGATCAAAAAAATAAGCATTGTTTTAGACTGAATCAATCATTTGTTTTTGTAGATTAAGCACTGTTATTTTTAAATGCATGCAAATGCTCTTATGATAAAATGTACTGCTAGATACGAGTGTAACTGAATTCTGAGGAGGGTTTTTTTTCTTTGTATCCTCTGTTCAAGTGGGGCCACTACTAAAAGTACAATTAATATCATACATTTGGGTGAAGGTTTAACAACCATTTTGGGGTGGAAAGCAATTAACCCACTTAAAAAGTTGGGGGACCCATTGCTGTGATAACAAGAGAAGAAAATGAATAAAATGTAGGGCAGCAATTAGGAATAAATGCACTATAAAAATAAGATATTATCATGAAATAAGACTTTGATATGATTTCTAGATAACTTCAATACATTGTGTTTCAGCCACCAACTTCTCCCTTCTATTATTTGACTTCACTCAGTTTCTTAGTCTTAGGAAAGGCACCCTGGTCTAGAAACACCACATATTTGACACACAGCATCCCATCCTTCTTACTCTAACTCCGCAAGACAGATGTCAGGCCTAAACTACTCTCATACTGAGTTTAACTGCAGTGGCTTTTGGCATTGACTACCTCGGGTGGCTCAATATTTTTACTGATACTCGGGTTATTAGAGGAAACCCCTGTGAGGCCTGAGAGGAAGGAGGGGAGAGATCCACTGATGTGCACAGAGCTAAGCAAGCCTGGGGCTGCGGTTTCAGCTGCAACAGGCTTGGGGCCTTGCTTTGGTTTTTCCCTTCATTAGTTAAGTATTACAATCCCCCCAAACAGAAAACACAATATTTACAGCACTGTGGAGAATAGTTGGAAGTGGGTGGTGTAAACAGATTAGTATCTCTCTGGCATTCCAAGTGATACTGTTTCATTTGTTTCAGTAAGTACTAGTTACATCTGCCGAGCACTGCTGCTCTCTGCTCCGGAAAGGTCTGAAACAGGAATAACAGTGGGTGGGTGTTTGAGATCAGGAGGAAGGCATCCTGAACAAGCTGCCTGAGGGGGAAGCTCACACAACACCTGTCTCCCTTCTGTCCAATTTAAGTCTTTGCCACTAGGCTTAATAGCTTCCCGACAGACGTAAGGATGGAATCCAGAGAGCCCGCAGACGCAGATGAGGAAAGGCCTTTGCATAAGGAGGGAAGACACTAACCGACGAGGTTAGCGTTTGTTTCCTCTGAAAATGAAATTGGAAATAGAAAATGTGACTGATTCACAGTGTGGAGAGGATGGCTCACCAAGTTAGGGAAACAAACCCAAGCCACAGGCCTGAGGGCAGGTCTGCTGTGGCCTTGCAGCTATGGCTGGGACGGGAGCCTTTTCCGGGAGAGGGTGGCGCCGTCTCAGCG